ACATGGATGCAACAGAGAACCATGATTAAATATGGCCTGGTCATTTGTTTTGCTGCATGCAGTCAGAGACGATATAAAGCAGCTGCATCTGAACTGTGATGGTTCAGATATATCCACGTTTTAAGATGGGATTTGATCATCTAAATCAAGCTATAATAATCAGAGCTTTGTATAATCAGTTAGTGAGCAATGAGTGGAGTCTGAGAGGGAAACAGCATATTGTCCATTCATTTATGTGTAATTCCCCTCCTGCACGATAGAAAGGATTGTACGGTTTACTAAACAAATGTGACATGAAAGAGGACTGGTGCAATTATAAATAATTAACAAGTTATACCTCTATAGAAGTCTGATTTTGTGAAAGAAAAATAGCTTTAAAAGAAGGTTTTGCTTCTAGAAAATACCATTTTTCATACAGTCTCCCCCAGGGCTGCCCAAAGCATTTTACTGCCCGAGGTAAAGAATATTTTTCTCTTAGCTAATGTGCAGAAATAGGACTATGTTTTATTTCAACATCAGTGAAAGGACAGAATGCCACTACTACAAGCAACAGACCTGGCTTGGCCATCTGGTGCTCATAACTTCAATATCAATAAATTCAGTATCAAAGCAGAAGGAAACATCTTTGCAGCCAGTTAGAATTAAACATTAATGTTATCTATCTTTTTATATGGATAAATTTATAATGAATGTTATACTCCTCCTAAGGTCAGAAAAAAAAATTCTTTTAAAATTGTAAAGAAATTTAAACAGGGAAATCTAGTGTATTGTTGGCTCTCTCTAAACAATGCAATTTTAACAAAATGATACCCATTAAAATATCCATTAAAATAAAAATTGACACAATTAATATTTATTTATCTAGCAAACATTGATAAAAGCAAAATTTAAAATGAGTTCTGATATCTGTATAGAAAGCACAATTATTACATCACAAGATCATGGCAGGTATATATATCCTTAAGAGCAGAGAGTACAATTTATAAACTTGATATATTAAAAAAGCTGAAATTTTATCTTTCTTGAAGTTAGATATTAGAATCATGTCTGTGGATTTCTTTTTAGCATTATCTGGATGGCTCCCTAGAATGGCAGCATCTCATCAAACTCTGGAAAAATAAATTTAATTTGCGGAACAAATAAATTTCCTGATTTTTTTTATAGCACCAATTTCTAAAATTTATCTTAATAGAATTTTATCTGCTGCTGTTTTAAATTTCCACAAATGGAAAGAATTTCAGAAATCATCAAAACAATTTTTATCCAACTGTTAAGTATAAATATGGCAGAACATTTTAATTCCAATGTAGCAGTTTTCTCTGTTCTAATGTCACTCCAATGTATGGGAACTAAAACTTATAAGCAATCTGGAAATTCCAGGAATTCTACTCCTAAAACAGCAGCAGGAATTAGAAAATTACAATAAGACAAATTGGAAATTACAAATTAGATAACAACATACTGTAGGAATGGCAGCAAATATAATTTCAAAACATGGGTGGCTTTCTTGGAAGAAACAGATCATGTGATCCGTAAGAATGAAAATGTGCTTGTACATGTTCATTGCAGCCTAGCAGGCCTTCTACCCCAATCTTATTTATTTGATATGATACATTATTTCAATTAAAACTGAAAAACTATCTTTCTGCAAAGTAAAGCACAAACTTTAGGCATAATCTGCATTGCTAAAAGCAAAACATATCAGGCTGCAGCTCAGCATTTAGTTTGTCTTTTGGTATAAGAGTATTTTATGATTGGCCAAACCCACCAGGGCAACCATTTTGTGAGTGAACCACAAAATGATCTTAAAATATGCCTATTTGTCCCAAAAGGACAATCAATAGTATATTCAGAATTGTTCTATTTTCATAGATTCAGACTGACCACATTTTAATATAAATTTCAACTTGATTAAATGATATTACTATAAAATATGAAGCACTATTCTAAATAATTATCATTATATAATTATAAGTAATTATATCACTATTACAGACAATAGCAAAGCCACTGCTCCATCAAGAAATATACCTTGATAATAACTGATAATAAGTCTCTTTTTCATATTTAATCCAACTTGAACTTTAAAAAAATAATTTTACCTTCCATTGACTCAAACTGGATAAAAAACACCCCTCACCTATTTTAAGTTTTATTTTGGAGGTAGTGGAATAAATTAAGGGAATAAATAAAAAATGCACAGATTCAGGATTCAGGGCTTTGAGTTGAAACAAGCCACAGACCTAAGAGGGAAGGAGTGGACTTCACTCCTGAACTGGCCTTCTTGATCAGAAAGGGGAGGGCATATGTGTATATTCATAGGTGTTCATATCCATACTGTGTGTGTGTGTGTGTGTGTGTGTGTGTGTGCGTGTGTGCGCAGCCAATTGCTTCTCCATATCAGTTGTGTTAAGCAAGTACATCTGATTTTGGCAAGCTTATGATAAACTTTTGGTATCATAGAACTGGAAGAGGTCATTTAGGCCATAGGATCAATTGTTGCTCAAGGCATTCCTCACATCAAGTGGAGGAGTGTTGGTCATCTCCTTTGGAATTTGGTTCCACATCAAGAAAATGCCTTTGTTGTTAAGAATCTGCATTAACTTAAGGCCACTGTCGTATGACCTGCATTTTGATGACAGTCAACAGTTTGTTGGCTTTGTTCTGTATGTCACTCCTTCAGGTAATTATAAAATGCTATCTTCCTCAAACCTTTCAAGTTCTTTGCAACACAATTTCACTAGTTTGACTTTCATCCATCCATGGCAGTGTAACACTGGGGAGACTCAGGTCTTCTCCCACCCTCAATCATGAAAGCTCAACGGGAGACTTTGGGCCAGTCATTCTCTCTCTCCTCAATCTGTCTCATGCAGTTGTTCAGGCAACAAAATAAATGAAGATCCCCATACAAACAAATCACCTTGAACTCCTTTAGGAAATATAAGGTATTCATCTAAACATTGACTATAATAACAATGCCATTGTTGGGGGGCAATTTTTTGTCTTCTACAGACCTGGATTTAGATTGCAGGTTATCTTGCACAAGATCAGTTAGAATCAGGTTTACTTGAGAAGAACACAGGTATTTGTAGCTCATGCCACAAATTGCACCCCTTTAGTGCAAGATCACAATGCACTAGAAAGGAGACTGCAGGGCCGATGCTTTTAATCAGACCAATAGACATAGACATGCTGCTGACCAAGGAAAAATCAATTGCTGGTCATCCTTTGAATAAGCTTGTATCCTATTTATGGCATCTATTTTTTGTTATAATTTCTAATTATAAAATTGGAATAAGTGTTTAACACTATTGAAAATGCTTTTAGATGCATTCACAGGGAAGAGATATTACCTGCAAACACAAAGTTCATTAGCTTTTCTATAATCTCCTTGGATATGGTATGCGTTCATTGTACTAGTTGCAGCTATGCATGGCATGTAAAGTTCATTCTACATTTCTACTAAAGGCTCAACTGAATTCCCAGAAGGAAAAGCAAAATGCTATAATGATTCACTAGGATACTGGCAATCTCAGCGTAGCCACATGCTGACACAATTACTGGAAATCAGCTGTACTGGAATCTAGAGCCATGTTTATCATTAAGGACTTGCCAAGATTTCCTGAAGTAAGAACATGGGTTTTGGCATATATCCTTGAATTTCTAATATGTTCATGGCATTTTGAAGGACAAGCTATATCTTAAGAGAGAAAAATAATGTCATTTTATGGGCAAAGGGAAGGTTAAGAAAGCGGATTAGAGGCAGTCAAGCAGGATAAATTAAACAAATCCATGACTAACTGGGTGTAACAGCAAAGGATCTCATTCTGTTCAGCTGAATGGTTCCCTAGGGCTGGATCTATTACTTCTCTGAGCTTTTTATCACCTTGGAATTTTTATGGTTTTGATGAATTCTCATTTTTCTAAAAAAAAAAATTTTTTATTAAATAAATTTTCTTCTTTAATTAAAGACATAAATAACTTTTATTCTGACTTTCATTATTCCTTACATTTTTTATTATTATACAAGGAAATATTTCAAAGAATGAAGCATAAAGTAAATGTCACTTTTCAAGATATTGTAAGTATACTGTAACATTAATATTACATATTATAGCTTCAAGTTATTTTCACACTCTTTTGATCACTAATATGAATACTTTTTTCTTTTTGTTCAGCAAATATATTTTGAATGCCAGCTGAAAGATTAAAAGAATGCAAAAGCAAAACAAGAATGAAGCCACAGTATCATAAATAATTGAAACTAAACTGAGTCTTCTATCCCATCCCATTTCATTCTTTGGTGGATTGAGAGGCTTCAGAATAGTAAAAAACTAACATGAGCCTGTAAGGAAAACAATATGCAATATACAGAGCAGAACCACATGTCTAAAGCAATAATAAATAACTATTTAGACATAAGGGATGCATTGTTTTATAGTCATAGAAAAGAATTGGAAGCGGATGTTGAAGAGGTTTGTCACGGATTTCTTTTGAAATGAAATGGTATGATGGAATCTGATGTGGCAAAAACAATTGCTTAATTCATGGAGTTTGCCAATGTCTGTTCAAATATTGGCTCAAAAATTATGTATAAAATGTTTATCTTTAAGAAAGATGAGTACAAAAATTATACATAGAACAAGAAATGCATGTATTTGAGGAAATAGTATACAAGGTATTATTTATATATAGACACACACACACACACAGAGACATATGTACACACAAAGAGACATATACACATATGTAGGAAAACTTATAAATGGACAATGGCAGATTTGGGGGGAGGTTTAATAATGATGCAAACGTTTGCCAGTTGCAACATACTAATGCATGCAGGCTAGAAACTATTCTGCTATAATGTAAGTTCTCTATTCATCATTATCAGTGTGCAAACGAAAACTGTTTCTGTTGATGGCTGTGTTATTACAGGTGCTTTTCATATGACATTGAGAGCTGCACATGATTCACTTGGCAGAGAAGTCTATGAAGGTTACCTTTTTTCTGGCCTGCAAATCTTTAGAAGAATGGGCCTTTACATGTTTTCTTAGAGAACTTGGATCTGTGTATCGTTTGGTACAGCCAGGAATCTGACAAGCATAAGGTTTCTAAAAAATGAAAAGAAATAACGAGTCACAAATTAAGTTAAGGTTGTACATCTGAAATGGCAATATTGCAAATATCATTCATAAAACCAGAAAAAGAAAGACCATGAAGATTCTGGCACAGAAAAAGAAAGTTGGCATGAAAGAGAATGAACATTTTAAATTTTATGTTATATTCCTTCTCATTCCATATCTTATGGTTTAAACAAGATAATTGGCTACCTACCTTAGATACTGTAGCAATGTCATGCTCAAGTATAATTGTGAAAGTCCACATGCTGACATACAAGCTTGATTCAAAACTTTTAGTCACATGTTCCCTCACTGTGGAAAAGTTATAGCCCTAACATTACACATGCTGATTAATCTCTTGGGACAAGAGTCTCCAAAAATGGATCGTATAGCTATAGGTGTAGCTAAATTCTGCACCAACTGAAAAAATGTTCCAAATTCCATAGTGGATTGCATAGATGTAGCTAAGGGTCCAAAGGTTTTGTTCCTGAAGATTTCCAGGAGGCCTACTGAATATGGGACTATTGGAAGTGCTCAACTTCTGAGACATGGTTTCTTAGTGGAATCATCATGCTTGCATGTTGGGAAAATAAATGCATGAGTAAAATTTTTGAGCCAGACTATTATGTAGTATTTATAAAAAAACAAAGTTCAGTATGGTTGAGTAAGGACAAACCTACAGGACCATGTACCAGTGGAATAAATATGCTATCAGTGTAAAAAGGCAGAGGCAGAAAGGACTTATTTTATATTCAGTGGGGTCTTTAGTTCCGGTCAAAAAGTGGTTGTCAGAATGGTTGCCTCATTGGCAACCGCCAACAGTGTGACTAAAATTTAACCTGTTTTATGGGAGTCGTATGCAATGCATATAAAAGCCAGGTGGGGTGTCAATTGCACCGTGACATTCATCATTTTAGCTTTTATAATGTGGACATGCATTTTACATATTGATCAAATAAATTCTCTGCCATCACTACTTGTACTTACAATTATGCATCCCTCATATAAAACTTTAGTTTAGTCAGAAAATATATCTCTTTAGAAGTTCAGGTAAAGAAGTTGTAGTAAAGTCCCAGACATAGAGATACAGAGGAAACCTGCTTCAGAAAGAGAGAATGAAGGGGAAAGGTTAGTCTGGGATATGGCAGAAGAAAAAGAAAAAGAAGCTTAAATATATTAAAAGCCGTATAACAATTTTTCAGAGGTATAAAAAACTTTTTTTGAAATATCCATGCACTAATTAAAACATGATGGCTATAAATAATCCCTGGGAGAAAAAATAAAAATGTCAACATTTATTTTTTTATTTGTTTTTAAGAACACACTCCACTTTAAGGTTTAATTTCTAAGAATTGTTTCTATCATTCCAATTATCTTCATGGGTAACATTCCCAGTATCCTTGGTTTACAATGTTGTTCAGGTTTTTTTTCCTGTGGATCAGACACTTCCTGTTGATTTTTAATTTTGATGATTTTCTAATTTGATCCATTCAGATAACCAATGTTATGGTTCCCAAATGAAAATTCCAATACTAAAGCAAATATGCTCCCAGCTGTATACAGTATCTACTAGATATAGCATGAAGCAACTTACTCAGATAAGTCTTGGCAACTTCAAGTAATAAGATTTAACCAAATGGGGGGCTGTGTTACAATGATTCTGTGCATCTGAAATAATTTTGAGGATTTCAAAATCTAACATATATACATCTCTCATTGTTTCCCTATATACTTTTGTATTATAGAAATTTCCAAATATTTTGAGTATATATGAGAATTGTATGAAATCATTCTAAGAACTACTTGTAAAGTCCTAAAAACAATCGTCCAATCTTTCTGTTTGAAGTGTTAATGTGTCATAGCTTAATAAAGGTTCTCTCCAGTTGCTCGGGGGGGGGGGGGGGGGGGGTCTCCTGACATCATTTGAGCCAATTTGGTCTAGCATTTAAGGTGCCAGCCTAGAAAGTGGGAGACTATGAGTTCAAGTCCCGCCTTAGCCACGAAAGCCAGGAGGATGACTTTAGCCCAGTCACTCTCTCTCAACCCAAATCACTTCACGGGGTTATTGTAGGAAAAATAGAGAAAGAAGTATTGGATATGTTCACCACTTTGGGTTGTTTGTAAAAAAAATAATAAAGGTAGGATACAAACAAACAAATAAATGAATGAATGTGTATGCTTAGAGGAAGACCCCCTTTGTTCAGGACTATTTCCGTTTTGCTTCAGGAATAATCTCAACAAAAGTGTCTTCTGTGCAGGCACATTTAGGTCCAAATGCCACCAGGAGCATCCTTACGACAGTATCAAGCTATCTACAGGACACTGTCCTCAATGTTTCAAGGTGTTGGGTTCAGAAGGTGCTTCAGTTTGTTCCATGAACTACATACCTGTAACTGTCGATTCATATTTTCCATATACTACAGGTTTCTGGGCATAACTGGTAATATAGCATAAACTCATGTTATCTGGGAATGCCTTGTTATACAGAATGACCTCAAAGAAGTGAGTTGAATAATCTTCCCTATTATGTAAATTCTGTCAGCATTTTAATATTTTTATTTTTAAACCAGTCTCTGATTTGTTGCAATTTCTTTATTGTCCATTCTCTTTTGTAAGGCCTATTTTTAATGTCCTAATTAAACCTTGCCAATTGTCCGTGTTACTCTGTTGGAAAGAGAGAAATGGATCTTTAAAATAGAAATATAAAATATTAGTACACTTCATTCATTTTATTTGAGTCTGTGCAGGTTTGACAGAAAGAAGGATGCTGAATTATATTAAGTTATATAATTCATATTTACCAGAAAAATAGTGGAATATCAGGTTGAGTCCTAAGCTTTCAAGTACTTTCATTATTATTATGTAGTGTTTAGCACTAACTTTCCCCTAAACATAAGAGCATACTTCATCTTCTGTATCTGGACCCATGGCCTTCATTCTCAATTTTGCACCACTTCTGTTATGGTAAGTATGAGAGGAAGCACTATATCACATTTATTTATTTAATTGCTATACAGGATACTGTAGCGCCTTTATTTTTTTATTCAGATCTACTCCTCCTAGGTTTTCTGCATATCTCTTTAGGCAATCAAATCATGCCCTATGCAGGGCTTTGAAGCAGCCATGAATTTTTAGGAGTGAGTATCTGGATGCCCCAATGGAGTCTTTTTCAACTGGACTTCCATGTACCCAAGACTTCTGTGAGAAATTGTGAGGGGTTCTGCAAGAGGTCGTGAAAAAAAACTTTTTTATCTTTAATGTATCATGAGCTGCAAATACAATGTTTTTTATGCAGGGATTTTCTATGACCTGAAAATTATTTCAAGGGTTCCTTAAGGGGGGGAAAAGGTTGAGAAAGGCTGCCTTAACATGATATATGGAAACCTTTGTTTGTAGGCAGATGGATTTGTGAAAGGAAAATGGGTGAGAGAACTGGAGAGCATTACTCTATATCACAAGAAAACTAATCTGCATCTTACAGTATAAAAATTCTGTATACAGTAGGCAGCCTGAGCCTCTTAGACTTATAAAAGGAAAGGCCTATCACAGGAGTGTCAAAGTCAAGGCCCGGGGGCCGGATCCCGCCTGAGGAGTACTTAGATCTGGCCCGTGGGGCCACCCTGGAAACTGCAAAGGACTGGCCCACGGTGCTTCTGCCAGCGAAAACGGGTTCCCGAGCTCCATTTTCGGCTGCCACAGCTTCCTGCAACTCTCTGCCAGTGAAAATGGAGCTTGGGAGCCCATTTTCACTGGCAGAGCACTCGGGCCACCACAGGGCCCCCGATAGAAGTGATGTCGAGCTGGCCACGCCCATCCCAGCCTCCCGAGGTCAAACACAACCCTGATGCGGCCCTCAATAAAATTGAGTTTGATACCCCTGACCTATCACAATGATCTCTTTTCTTATAACAAAAACTGAATTTCAAAACAACCTGAATAACATGAGCAAACACCCTTCTATAGGGGTTCCATTGTAAGTCCCCATTTTATGTGCACTTAATAAACAATATGTCTGTAAGATATTGCAAGATATAGCAAAATATTATCTAAAATCACATTCTTCCCTTACAGTGTCCAGGTGCGTCCTCTGGTGCTTGGCTCGGTCGCTGGAATTACTGAATGCTTTATGACAGCCTTGATGCTGGCAAAGGTAAGGTTTTTCTCCAGTGTGGCTCCTTAAGTGAATCTTCAGATTTTCTAGTCTAGAAAAGGCCTTCTTGCAGCCTTCGAACTGGGAAACAAAATAAAATTTCTAAGATTGAAGGAAGGGAATTTTCTTCTCTTTGCACACATGTTGCCTACAGTATATATTCATGTCATAAAGAGAACCCCAGCCATGTCTACTGTCCCGGCTTCTACACATTAATGAGTACATCCATATTTCTGAAAAGAGCATATATAAATGCTTCAAATGTGCATGATCATTCCTAATTTCTCTACCTACCGCAATTTATTGAATATCAATGTGGGGCTTGTAGTGTTGGGTTTTCAGACAAACTCTTATGGTGTATACTAGAGTCAGTTTTAGATGTGGTCAAATAATACAGAAAGTCATTAATAATACAATTATATATCTTTTTTTTCAGAAGTCAGTCAGTCCCATTAAGTTAATTAGGACTTATTGTCAGATAATTCAGCCAATTTTCATCTCTGTGCATATACAACTATCACATTCTGCAAGAACACAGGATATAATTGTGATCTTAAAAAATGAGGCAAAATAGAAATATAATATGCCCTATTTTTTTGTATAAAAGTAAAATTATGCTTTAGCACCCATATATCATCCTAAAATTAGCTTTATACATTAATGGGGCAATTAATACAACATATTTCTTTCCTATATAGAACAAAACATTTCTCCCTTTATCTTTCCCCTTAATGCTGAATATTTTTTGGAGTAGGTTCTTTTCTACAAGCATCTGCTACTAAATCCATGACAATGGGTATTGGAGCATTTTCAAAAATATCATAATAGAGAAAAAAATTAGAATCATGCCTTCTGAACATAACATGAATAGTTTGCTAAATGGGTTTAAACTAAACTTAAGCTTAGTTTGCTTATTCCTTATAGAACTATAATTAGATGAAGAAACAAGAAACTAAGTTTTCTTCAGTCATATTTTCAAACTGAAATGTTAATAACCTATGAGTTATTAGATATAGCTTTGAAGTTCAAGTGACGACTTTTTCTGCAATTCATCATTTTAATACATGTCAATTTTTTGCTGTTTTTAAGACTATTGGAGAGAAGTAAACCTGAGCCATCTAACTTTATGGAAGTATTAACATATAATAATAATGTTCATCATCATTATTATTGAAATGTTTTCCTAGTTATTATGTTGTATTTGGTGTTGTATGTTCAAATTGAAGCTGTAATCTAATTCATAAAGGCAATTGTTGGACCACTACGTTCTATTGTTCTTGCCAGTAAGAGTTAAATAGTATGAGAAATATATTTAAATGTAGAACCATGAGTTACTATGTTAATTTAATCTGAAAAGTTTTGCACATGTAGAGAAGCTATGCAAACAGTTGTATATTCATAATTTAAATCAATGTGATTTTAGTTTTATTTTTCTGTTGGATTTGCTGCAAGCTTTCATAAACCTCCCATTTTCAATTACTGCTGGATATTATTTCATTTAGAAAAAAACAATATGTTCTCTAAATGCCTTGTCCTAACTGAGGGGAAATATAATTTATTTGTATTGTGCACAATATTTTATTCTGACTCCTTCCTTTCTTACCAAATGCCACTGCAGAAGATTCCATTTGTAGTAGTTGACCCCACTGGGGGAAGATCTTAACCCTTTCCCTCCAGCTGTTATTCAGTAAAAATGCTTTTGTGAATGGAGAAAATGTATGGATATGGAAAAGGAAGCTGAGAAGAAGCAAATGGATATCTTTTGAGCAGAGAAACTGCCAGGAGGAGTTGAGCACCTTTCTTTTGAAGGAAAAAGTACATCTTAGTGGTTTGGGATTAAACATGAGATGTTAGCACCTGTACAATCCTTTTTACAGTCAGATAATAAAGTATTTTTTAAATAACACCCAACACATGATTAGGAAGATAATGCACGTTGTAAATATGAATAAAGGTAAAAATAAAGGTTTCCCTGTCCAGGGCGCGGTGCTCATCTCCATTTTTTGGCCGAGGGAGCCAGACTTGTCCAAAGATATTTTCCATGATTATGTGGCCAGAATGGCTATACGCCAAAGGCGCATGGAACACTGTTACCTTCCCATTGAAGTGATACCTATTAATCTCTTGCATTTGCGTGCTTTTGAACTGCTAGCTGGGGAGAAACTGGGGGCAGGAACGGGGGGGGGGGGAGGGACTTGGACAAAGAGGCTTTACTCAAATATGGGTAAAACTGACTAAAACCAGAGCAGTGCAAGCAGATTAAGGCTGATATTATTTCATTTATGATCCTCTCTTATTTATCACTGATAAAGTGAGCTCACTTAGTTCTTTCAAACAGAACCATTTTAGAATTATTCTCAAGCCTTTCATAAACACAAATCAGAAAGTTTTTATACATACATGGTTGAAGATAACTTCATTTGGACCAGTCTAAAAAACAGATCTGTTAGTCCGAGTCTCTCTCTCTCTCTCTCTCTCTCTCTCTCTCTCTCTCTGTGTCTCTCTCTCAGTCAGTCTCTCTCTCTCTCTGTGTGTGTGTGTGTTTGACTGTCTCTCTCTCTCTCTCTAACACACACACACACATATGACTAGTTCATCAGGAGTGAAAAAAAATCAAGTCAGGCATGCAAAGAATGTAGGCATACTTTATGTATTGCCCTGCTCAACCATTCTCAGACAAGCCAATTGTAAAAATAAAATAAAATAAAAATAAAATAAAATAAAATTGAACATCAGTTTATACACAGGTATATACAGTACCCAGTAACAAATAGTGTATATAACTATGTCATACTATACTGTAAAACACCATTGAGAAGTTTTAAATGAGAAGCAATATATAAAATAAATAAATAATTCAGTATAATGTTGCTCATGTAATAATTTAACATGTGCATTTAAAACTTTCTCCACTGCTTCATCAAAATAATCAAAATACTGTTTACCTCCATCTGTTATATTCATCTAATAGCAATATCATAATTTTGAGCTCACCTTTTTAAAGAGAAATCCTGAAAACAAAGGGAGGCATTTTTAATGATAAAGCAAATCTTCTGAATTATAAACATTCTGTGTACGTTATATTTAAATACAAGATATTGGGCTCTGTTTTATTCAGAATGCATTTCCCTAACAGTCTAAAATTCATTCTCAGTAGAATATCTTAAACATAAGTATTATCCTCAAAGTGCTGGCTGGACAATCTCAATCATGCTAAATAGGATTTGAATTAATTAAAGCTGAAATCGTTGAGAATATTTACCTGGAAAAAAGATACAGTTTAACTTCAGGTGACATTTAGTCAGGTTTTTATCTCTGCAATTGCACTCATGAGCTAATCTACCTGAGGGGAAAAACTTCCTTTCAGAACAATGATATTTATACCTGATTTTGCATAAATTTAAAGAGAATTGCCCAGATTATGCATCATTTGCACTAGATAAACCTGCATAAATTACACATACATACAAAGACACACATACATTTCATGTTTCTAGATTGCTCTCTCCCTCAAGGAGGGGCTCTGAGAGATGTACAGAATAATCAACATATAAAACACCATATATCCTGGCTTGTGAAAACAATTATCAAATTAACTTGTTTGGAACAGGGTTTCAATGAAACTTCACAAATATAGTCTTGATTGATTTAGCTGTTATTTCTGTGAAGATAATTAATATGATAGAAAATTTCTTGGAAAATAAGTTCTTTCTGTATACATCAGCTGCTAATAATTTCAAATCCATGTGGAACAATCAAAAGGAAAAGAGGAAATTAGCTCAGTAGCAAATATTTTATTAGGAAAAACTAGCATTGGTTTTTCCCCCCCTATTCTGCTACCTTGTTTTTGGTCTCATTTTTATTTAGAGTTAATATTATTGTCATAAGCTTCTAATGATATCCACTTGATGACAACATGCTACTCCAAAGACTCATTATGTTCAAGTTCAGATTTCTGAACATTTCAAATATGTTCAAATTTTATGCAGAAACTCATCCTAACACTCTCACATGGGAATAAATCTAACCAATCTCAAGGGGTTGGAGTAAGCTCTTTTGCATATCTGATCTTACTGTTGTTCAGTCACTTCTGAGTGTTTGTGAACTTGACAAACAGTATTAAGCCAGGATAGTCTGTCAGTAACTGTTTCTTTGATCTCATGTTTGTGTTAAACTCATGTTTGTGTCATCAGTGTAGTGATTACATCTAGCTCCATTGTCTTCTTTTGATCTCGTTTTGATCGCCTTTGATTTTTTCAAACATGTGGGAAATGATTCCTGCTTTTTTATTATATTCAAAATACTTAAGTTTTAGCTTTAGCTTCATTGTCAGTGCTTCATTGATCAGACTAGTTTTACTTCATCTAGTATTACGTGCCCTATTTGCAGTCCAAAGTATTCTCAGAAATTTTCTCCACAACCACAATTCATAGGGTCGCCATTTTTTTAAAAAAAAAATCAGTCTTTCTGATGAAACAGTTTTCACAACTCTATTCTATAACATATATTATAATAGCTCTATAAAGCCCTACAAAGCATGGGGCCAAGCTATTTATGGAATCAGCTTCACCCCATCACAGGAGCCTGTCACATTTGATCATGCAGGGAAGGTATGCTGTAGACCCTATCAGTCAAAGAATGTCAACTGGCACGGTCTAAGGAAGACAGCTTTTTTGTCACTGCCACGTTATGGAACATCCTTTCCCCAAAGATGAGGCAGACCCTGTCACTGCGTTATTTTATTTACCAGCTGAGCTCATTATTTCTGGACGGGGGGGGGGGGGGGGGGGGGGGGGGGGGGGGGGGGGGGGGGGGGGGGGGGGGGGGGGGTGGGGTGGGGGGGGGGGGGGGGGGGGGGGGGGGGGGGGGGGGGGGGGGGGGGGGGGGGGGGGGGGGGGGGGGGGGGGGGGGGGGGGGGGGGGGGGGGGGGGGGGGGGGGGGGGGGGGGGGGGGGGGGGGGGGGGGGGGGGGGGGGGGGGGGGGGGGGGTGGGGGGGGGGGGGGGGGGGGGGGGGGGGGGGGGGGGGGGGGGGGGGGGGGGGGGGGGGGGGGGGGGGGGGGGGGGGGGGGGGGGGGGGGGGG